TTCCCCGATGGGCTCCGAGCAGATTGGGTCTGAAGATCGGGCCGCATCGCCGATGCATCGCCAGTGCATCGGTGACGCTGGCGCGGAGAAAATCGGGCTCCACATCGGATTCCGTCCCCGATGCATCTGCGATGCGGCGCGACCCACCGACCCCATCTACTCGGAACCCCCATCCGTGAAGCCGAGGCTCACGGTCTTGGGACCTCGGAGGCCCTGGTCGCCCGAGACGTCCTCGGATAGTGACCCAGGTCGTTGAAGCCCTACGGTGACCCCCTCGCCATCGCTCGGACGTCCATTCCTTGTGCTTTCTTCGGTTTCGTGCGTGGTTTTTTCGCCAAATGATCAAGGATGCTCCTCGATGGTCCTCGCCGAAAGAAAAATGCACACGTCCGAGCGATGCCAAGCCCCGAATCCACACGGACTCGCCACGCGGTGTGGTCACCACACCGTCGAGGGGGCCCTGAACTCTCCACAGGCGCAGAGCTCCGCGGGGCCGGGGCCGCGCTCGACCATGCGAAGGGGCGTCGAAGAGGGGGGCATCCAAGAGGGAAGTTCGCAGATCATGGCCCGAGGCATGTGCGCGGCCCAAGGGGACCATGGGAACGCATGGCAATGAGAAGAGGCGATAGCAAATCCGGGGAGCTGTCCTGAGCATCGTTTCACCGATCCCCATCCCCACCAGCGTGGGCTGGGCCCGACAGGCCGAGTCGCCCCCCCGATATCCTAGTCCTGGCCATGATATGCACCCCCCCCCCCTGGTCATCCCCCCCCCTCTTGGCCGCCCCCGAGCGGAGCTCCGCGGACCCCGGTCGTGCTCGACGAGGCTCTGGGCTGGGCCAGGCCGGGGCCTGGGGGGGGGGCAGGGCACAGGTGGTACATGGTGTGGATGCCCCTGTAGCTGGGGGACTCCTCGCGCAGGGAGGGACATGAAACGAGGAGGGTGGACCGAGGCTGAGCGCGGAAACGTCGGCGCCGATCTCGGCCACTGCCCAGCTTGGCCCTCGCCAGCTCGTGGGCCCTCCTCGCGAGTCGGCGGCGGCTCAGCAAGACCTCGCGACATCTTGGTCGTAGTCGCCGTGCTTCTGCCATCGAGGGGGGGAGCTGTGTGGACCCAGGCCTGCGGACCCCTCGAGCGGGGGCCGCGGCGGGGGCCGCTCCGCAGGTCGGGCGTCCGCGAGCGGGGGAGCAGCACGCGTGCGGTGCAGCACGCGTGCGGTGCAGCAACGCTCCTGCCCCGCGCACCTCCTGAGCCCGCGGTGGCAGCCTGGGGGCCGTCTGCTCGGTGGCAACTCGTGGGAGCCTCCCACGCCATCGTGTCGGTTCTTATGGATCGACGCGAATCAGCGCTAAGTCGACGCCGATCGACGCTAAATCGACGCTAACCGACGCTAGCGGACGCCCGATCGTTGCTATCTCATCGACTCCCACGCGCTCATCGACGCTAGAGAAGGAATTGAGAGGGTAGACCAGGCTCCCATGGCTTGCTGCCGAAGGGGAGATTGGAGCGATGTTCATGGTGGGTACTGCTCACGGCTGGTCGCCGAGGCTGTAGGATGGAGATACGGGCCCCTTGCAGCCAGAACAGCCACTTTACAACCAGGTGGGGAACTGCGCAAAACCAGCAATGCCCTCGACTGCATGCTCCCTTTCCTCTGAGAGCGACCCCCCTTTTACGACCAGAGCGACCACTTTACAGCCCAGGCAGGCTGCCTTGCAACCGAAATGGGTACCAAACGCCTGGGGGGGGGCGCCCTTCGGGGCCGCTCCCCTGGTGAACGTTGTTTTGTGCGGCGTTCCGACACCTCTGCTCCGTGCGAGTGTTTGCAGCACTGGGTCCTATGAGGGGAGACCCAGCCTGCTCGAAAGCGGCGCCCCAAACAGCCAAGATCTACTCCATGGGGGGGGGCGAGCAGATCGGCAAAACAACGAATAAGACAACGATCACCTGCAGCCCTCGACCCCCCCCGCTTGCACCCCCGACCGAGGAGGAGAAGGAGGCGGGGGAGGAGGAGGAAGTGGAGGAGGAGGAGGTAGCGGAGGAGGAGGAGGCAGGGGGGAGGAGGAGGAGGAGGAGGAGGAGGAGGAGGAGGAGGATAGGAGGAGGAGGAGGAGGAGGAGGGAGGAGGGAGGAGGAGGAGACGAACGAACGAACGACTCTGCAGAAGGGTGCCAGATGATCCTGCCGTAACGCGGGGAACTCCGAAGCTAAAATAATGTAAGCTCCGAACTGACTCGCTTCTAGAGGGCGCGGTGACTCAATATAGACTGGTCACGCGTGGCACTAGGTGCACTCTGCTCCCGCCCACCTTGCCCCACCTCGGCTGGAGGGCCCCAAAGCTTTAAAGGCAGGGCGCGGCCGTGGGGACGTGGGTCGAAAATCGGGGACGAAACTTCGAGGCACCAAACAGAAAACGCAGAGCAGGGAGGCCCAGCATTATCAGTCAGATCCTCGCCTCTCGAATTTCAGGAAAAAGCCAGCTACGACTCAGGCAAGCCCGAGCGGCCCCAAGGGGCCACTGAACACACAAAGCTAAAAAGTTACGGCCCTGGGGGAGGGCCTTCACGCTTTCTGAGACTTAGAAGACCCAAGACTCTGATGAGAGGGATCGGGGGAGTGGGAGGAGGAGGAGTCTGAAGGTCGGGAGAGGCGGCAGCGACGGCGAGATTATTCGGCCTAATCGAAGTCATCGGACCAGGAGTAGCCGAACTCACTGAAGACGTGGCCGAGGGAAGAGGTCGAGTAGCTCTCTGGGGTCGCGGAGATCTTGATCTCCCCTCCGTCGGAGCCGCTATCAGTGATGCTGTCAAGGTTAGTGATCGAGAGGAGGTGGCCCTCAACGGCGTGGTCAAAGTCGCCAACCGTCCAGTCGATAGCCTCTGTGATGCAAGCCCCTGTGCTGCGTCGGACCCGCTAGGTCGGTACCCTCTGCTCTCTCGAGTCCGTTCGGAGAGTGAGCAGTGCGTGCCTGCGGGCCCTGTCAGCTCGGACCTGCAAGGTCGGTACCCTCTGCCTCCGAGCTGCGGCTCGGGAGGTGAGCAGTGCGTGCCTGCAGGCCCTTCTCCCCTTACTGCCTCCAGCAGCCTGGCTACTACTGCGCGTCGAGGTGAATCTGCAACAGCCTGGCGTTGTGGGAGCGCGGTGGCGCTCCGTGTTTGTGAACTCCCCCGAGCTGCACCAGAGCGGCTACGACTGTGTCCTCTATGCCTGTCGCTTTGGCCTCGATCCAAATCTTGACTTTGTCCTGCGCGTGAGTCGTCTGCAGCCTGCAATGCCGAACCTGGTCGGCCAGTTCGCCGTTGGAAGTGGGTGCCGCTTTCATGCGATCCTGGTACTCCTTGATTAGCCTCGCGTTGGCCTGGCCCACCTTGTCTCCCTGTCCCACGAGAGCGCCCACCAGCGCGACCCACGCGTGCGGATGGGGGATCCCCAGCGCCTCTAGCTCGGGGACGGGGTCGCCGTTCTTGAGGGCGGCCTGATTCGCCTCTCGAAGTCGCTTGGCCTCCTGCCCGTAGTACCGCGCCGTGAGCATCATCGACTGGGGCACGTCGTGGTTGGCAGGGAGCTGGACGTGACGGAAGATGGCCGACTCGAGGGCGTTGATCGCCTGTTCGTGCCTGAGGGACATGCGCATCAGGATGGGCATCATCTGCGGCACCTGCTCGATCGGGATGTGCGGTAGGTTCCTGACGTCGTCTTCTCTCAGCCCGTAGTGGTTGTCGGTAGCGGCTCGCGCGTCGATCTGCTGCTGCGGGGGCTGACCTGCTCCTGGCGTCGCGGCCGCGGGGCCCGCTCCTCGCTGCTGCTGTGGGGCTCCCCGAGCGCCTCGCCCTCAGCGGTCTCCACTCCGAGTCCGATCTCCTCGCCCACCTTCGAGATCGCGTCGCCTCTGTTCCGCCCCAGTGGCGAGAGCCCGCTCCGCCAGGTTCGACATCCAGCACAAGATCTGGGGCGGGCGGCGCGTGGGCTTCTCGGATGTGTGTCTGAAGTGCCTGCAGCGCCTGAAACGGCTCTTGAGCCAGTGTGGCCTCGGCCATTCCCTCTCTGAAAGCCTCGTGTGCTGACTCTGGATCCACGCAGATCGGACAGTGGAGGTCATCGGGCACAACCAGGGGGGGTGAATACGCACTGAAATCTGTGAGGCAGCGGCGACGGCGAAGTGACTGTACCACGTGTCTCTTGGCCAGCACCACTGACGAAAAGGTAGAGGAGCAGTAGCAGCACTGGTTAGTCACCACAAGCTGGTGCATCGGGACCCTGATCTTGTGCGACGGGTGGTGGCACTGATGTGCTCTCAAGGCCGCTCTGGAGTAGAAGACGTGCCCACAGGGGTCCCCGTTCTCGCCTGGGAGGTCACAGTAGTATTCTTGAGGAGGGGCTTCAGGGACTGGTGGAACCTCTGGTGGAACCCCGTGCTGAGGAGGAGGCCGAAGGGGTCCTTCCTGTTCTTGTTCCCAATAGGCCTTCCGAAAACTCTTGAGACTCACGCTCTTGAAGTGGCACGCGACACGGTAGTTCGTGAAGATATCCCAGATCGAATAGCCTCTTGCCAGGAACTGGTGCCCAGTGGGGATGACCGAGAGGAGCTTGATATCCTGCTGGAGCTGGAGGGCCCACGGGTTAGCGCCAGACCGAATCCAACCGTCGGGGGTGAACGTCGGAGACTCGCCCAGCGAAGAAAAGTGCCCGAAGAGCGCCGCAACAACCTGAACCGAGTCTGCGGGGTTCACCGCCAGGCGCTGCCAGTAGCCGAGGCGCCTGATCAGAAGCTCAGTCCTCGAGTCAGCGATGCGCAACCTCTTGTGCATGACTCTCGCCGAAGGTGTCCGAATCCTATCTCCCTCTGGCCCTGCTCTCTTGGCAACGCCCCTCATCGCCACCTTCGCGAATCCCAAGATCACCGAGTCAAGCTTGGCATAGTCTTTCTTACCTAGGATATAGACCTCAAGGCCCGAGTAGGCCGCCCTGTGGATAATTCCCAAGAAAGCCATCCTCTTAAGCTTCAAAGACGAGTGCTGGTTCCAGAACCTCCCGAGCTTGGTCCAAGCAGAGCGCGTAGAGTCTACACGAAGTTTTACTTCCGCTCCCGAACCACCCGTCAAATGCTCAAGTCCTCCGAGGTAGACGGTTTCAGCTCGAGTTTGCCCTGGGAACTGGACGAGTCCTGAGAGCACGGCCCTCGTGGCCGTGTATCCTCCTGGGCCGACAAAGACTGGGCGGATGATCCCCTTGTCAACATTCTGAGTAAACCCTCCTATCTCCTCGAGCTGATCTGACAAGGTACGAGACGACAATTTTGCCCTCTCCGCTGCGTGGACGGGGTTGCCATTCGGCAGCGGCAGGGTCTGCGATACGTCATCGGCGTAGTCGCGCATGGAGATGTCGATCTGCTCGGAGTGGATGGGCGAGTCAATCAGCGTCGCCGCCTCCATCATCGGCGCGGAGCCGCCGCTCTCCGTATCTAAGGTGGCCTGGGTGCCCTGCAGGAGGATCTGGTTCCACACCTCCAGCGGCTTGGCGAACGACCGCACGAACAGCTCGCACGCATTGCCGTCGCCCATGCCCGTGCCGTGGGTGGGTTGGAAGAAGCCCGTTTCTTCTCCTGCCTCAACCTCGATGACCGCCTCACGAATCCTCTGGCGCAAGAAGAGTTGGTCCTGCATGTCGGGGATCACTTCCCCAATCACCTGCTCCAGGATGTCGTGATCTGTCGAAGGGAACGCGTTGCTCATATCTTTCTTGATCTGCAGGTGCGAGACGAGCTTCTTTCGTAATCTCCACGAGTGAAGTTTAGCCACCAGCTGAGCGTTCTGCCTCGACCTGTGCGCTGCATATCCATGTGCGTGTAATGGAAGTCTTGAGCGTTCGTGTCGAACAAATATGCCTCTGTACCAAGCTTTGCCGAACGGGC